AAAAATACTAAAAGTATTAATATTACTAAATTAGTAAAATACTAAAAATACTAAAAATACTAAAAGTACTTAAAGTATTAATAGGACTAATAGTACTAAAATAGTAAAATATTAAAAATACTAAAAGTACTAATAATACTGTAAGTACTAAAAATACTAAAGGTACTAAAAATACTAAAAGTATTAATAGTACTAAAATAATAAAATAGTAAAATACTAAAAATACTAAAAGTACTTAAAGTATTAATAGGACTAATAGTACTAAAATAGTAAAATATTAAAAATACTAAAAGTACTAATAATACTGTAAGTACTAAAAATACTAAAGGTACTAAAAATACAAAAAGTATTAATATTACTAAAATAATAAAATAGTAAAATACTAAAAATACTAAAATTACTGAAAGTATTAATATTACTAATATAGTAAAATACTAAAAATACTTAAAGTACTAATGGTAAAATACTAAAAGTACTAAAAATACTAAAAGTAAGAAAAGTACTAAAAATACAAAAAATACTAAATATAAAATAAACAATAATAATAATACCGAGATTATTAGCGACCAAAAACCATACTTAATATATACCTTTCCCCCTTCGACTAATTTCTATTTTCATCTCCCTCATCATCATTTCAATGGCAGTTTAATCTAGCTTCCGTGTGTCTATTATCCGAATTTTTTTTTTTATTCCGGATAAAAGATTTCTTACCTATTTACTTACAGAACAATCTCAATTTAAATTTTTTTTTTTTTTTTCTTATTTTTTCATTGAACGCAACAAACGTTTTCTAAACATGCAATCATTTCAATTCTCTGATTTGGTGTATAAAAATTACAAAAAAAAAAAAACCAACCAAAAAACCAAAAAAAAAATAAATATTTTTAATATTCGAATTTTTTTTTTTTTTTTTTTTTTTAATTTTTGTTATTTTAATTATTTAAAAATTATTTACAAATTATTACAAATTATTTACAAATTAGTTACAAAAAAAAAATTAAAGAAAAAAAAATTTCTTTTCTCTTATAAAATTATTGTTTGTTTGTTTATTAGAATTAATTGTTTAAATAATTAAGGCAAAATTGGCAAATAATAATAAGGTAAATAAATAATAAATAATAATAATAATAAATAGTTTTAATATTTTGTGGTTTTTTTTTTTTTTTTGAATTTTTTTTTTTTTTTTTTTGCAAATTTTGACACCAAATCGATTCGGCTTCATTCTATTCTCATTCTCTCTCATTTTTTTTTCTATATTTATATATAATATTAATTTTTATTTATTTATTTAGTTATTTATTTATTTTTTTGTATATCATATATACGCAATAAATTTTGGTACTTCTAATGTAGAATATTGGCTTTGAAAAATCACGCAAATTTATGATGTATAAGATATTTTTCATTATTGACATTTTTTTTTTTCTTTTCAAGCAAAATATCTAAATATCTATATATCAATAGTGTTTAATAAAAAAAAAAAAAAAAAAAAAAAAAAAAAAAAAAAAAAAAAAAAAAAAAAAAAAAATTGAAAAATTAAGAAATTAAAATAAATTTTCAATTCTAATTATTATTATTATTATTTTTTTTAAATAATCTTTTCTATAGCACTGCTATAATAATTTACATAAATATTTATAATTTTATTTTATATTTAATATTTTTTTTTTTTTTTTTTTATAAATTATTCGCGTATGATTTTTTATTGTTCTTTATATATATATAATTCTACAAAGACGGCACAAAGCTGAACGGCTAGTATAGTAAATATATATATATATATATATATATATATATATATATATATATATATATATAATTTATTTATATATATATAAACTTTTATAACACACGTTTCAGAGAAATTATATAAAAAATCTTATGTTCAGACTGTTTTTATTTTTTATTATTATTATTATTATTATTTTTTTTTTTTTGCTGCGATTTTTTTAAATTATTGTTGTCAGTCTTTTAAAATTCGTTATTATATAAAAAGTCTTTTTTTTTTTTTTTTTTTGTTGGTCTATATATAGCAAAAATTGGAAAAGTAGAAAAAAAATTTGTTTTTGTTTAAAAAAAAAAAACAAAAAAAAAGAATTAATTTTTTCTTTTTCTTTTGAATTATAATTATTTACGCTTTATAATTAAATTGTGATAAATTGTAATATATTAAATATTAATTGGTAAATAAAACTAAATAGATAAATTTAATAAATAAATTATAATAAATTTATAAATAAATAAATTTTTAAATTATAGTAAAATTATAAATAAAATTGTTATAAATTTATAAATAAATAAATTTTTAAATTATAGTAAAATTATAAATAAAATTGTTATAAATTTATAAATAAATAAATTTTTAAATTCTAGTAAAATTACAAATAAAATTGTAATAAATTTACATTTAAAATTGTAATTAATAATATTAATAAAAAATATTTCAAAAAAAAGTAATAATATTATTATTATTCTTATTATTATTATTACAATTTTATTTGTAAATTTATTAAAATTTTTTTGCAATTTTACTATTAATTTAAGAATTTATTTATTTACCTATTTGTAAATATATTATAATTTATTATGTTTATTTATTTTTTTACTATTATTATTATTATTATTATTATTATTATTATTATTATTATTATTATTATCAAAATTATTATTAATATTGTAATAATAAATAAAATAATAATAATAATAATAATAATAATAATTAATAATAATAAATAATAATAATTGTAATAAAATGTTAACTAAAATAAAAATTTTTTTAATAAAAAGAAAATAAATAAAACTGATACTATTCTAATGAAAATAATTTTTTTTTTTACAACTATTTTGCTATCTTCTCTGAAACGGCGATTAATAATAACGATGTTAACAAAAAAAAAAAAAAAACGTCTAAGAGTTTCGAAATTTTCGACACAAGGACAAAAAGTTTTTAAAGCGCTTTTTTCAAATTTCGAGATATTTTTTTTTTTTTTTTTTTTCTCTTTGCCAAATTTCTAGTAAGCAAACTTATCAAATCCAAGTATCTTTTTTTTTAAAAAAAAAAAAAAACCAAAATTTTACTCTCGACTTGGATTTGAGGAATAATCCAATTTTCGATTAATTCAAAATTTGCAATAATCATATTTTTAATACGCGATTAAAAAAAAAAAAATTATAAATTAACCATAATATATGGTTTTTCTACTATATTTTTAACTATAATTATTAATTTTTATAATTATTATAAGAACTATAATTATAATTTTTTTTTATAATTTTTTTTTATAATTATTTTTATAATTATTTTTATAATTATTTTAATAATTATAATTATTTTTATAATTATTTTAATAATTATTTTAATAATTATAATTATAATTATAATTATTTTTATAATTATTTTTATAATTACTTTAATAATTATAATTATAATTATAATTATTTTTCTAATTATTTTAATAATTATTTTTATAATTATAATTATAATTACAATTATAATTATTTTAATAATTATAATTATAATTAAAATTATGTAAATTAATTAATTAAATAAATTATTTTTTCATTATAATTATTATTTTTTATAATTAAAATAATTAAAAATTGAAAGAAATTAATTTTTTTTTCTATTATAATTATAATTATTATAATGAAAAAAAGGATATATTGTTTGCGAGTGTTTTGATTGTAAAATATGATATATGTAGTATATTTACAAAGAAAAAAAAAATTCTTATTTCTTTTTTTTTTTTTTTTTTTTTTTTTTTTTTGATGAGTAAAAACATTTTAACATTAAAATTATTGGTTGTCTGACATTCTAAAGTCTGATTTTTTTTAACAATAAAACACTAGCAACTTTACTCCCATTTTTCTTTCAGTTATTATTATTATTATTATTATTATTATTATTTTTTGAGTTTATAAACTACAACAGTTGTCGTCGCTAATATTTCACAAAATGCACATAAAAACACCTGGCTTACACTTTTACATACTTTTATTTTATTTTATTTTTTTCAAAAAAAAAAATCGAAATGCTTTTCAAACATTTTGTTTTTTTTTTTTAATTATTTTAAACGTAAGAAAATTTTTAAATGTGTTGTCAGGACGTAGAAGGAAAAAAAAATTCTAGGTTATGTTTGTGATAGTTTTATCTTGTTACAAAAAAATTATAGGTTATGTTTGTGATAGTTTTACCTTGTTACAAAAAAATTATAGGTTATGTTTATGATAGTTAATTAATTAACTATTAATTAATTAAGTTAATTAATCTTTGTAATTGTCACGATAAAAAAAATTTTAGGTTATGTTTATCATTGTTTCAAATAAAAAAAAGTTATGTTTGTAATCGTTTCGATTAAAAAATTTTAGGTTATGTTTATGATCGTTTTTCTCTAATATAAAAAATTCTAGGTTATGTTTGTGATCGTTTTAGCTTGTTACAAAAAAAAATTTATAAATTATGTTTATGGTAGTTTTCATTCAAAAAAATTTAGATTATGTTTATGATCGTTTCCAATTTAAAAAATAGGTTTATGTTCGTGTTCGTTTAAATTAAAAAAATTTGTAGGTTATGTTTATCATTGTTTTAATTAAAAAATAATTAGGTTAGGTTTATGATCGTTTCAAATAAAAAAAATAGGTTATGTTTGTGATCGTTTCAATAAAAAAAACTTCTAGGTTATGTTTATGATCGTTTTGACTTTAATTAAAAAAAAAATTCTAGGTTATGTTTATGATCGTAAAATAAAAAAATGTTTAAAAAGCAATTAGATTCTTTTTTTTTGACTACTTAAATAACAAATCACACACACACAAGCATACGGTGGACTATCCACAAACTTGTTTTTCTTTTTTTTTTTTTTTTTTTTTTATTTACATTCATTCATTCGTTCGTATATTATTTTTATAATATTTAAATCGCATTCAATCAGTTCTAACCGATCGCACACTGCATCGTTTTCTTGATTGCATTTTTTTTTTCAATCAGATTAAAAATGTTTTCTTGTTTTTTTTTTTTTTTTTTTTTATTTTATTTTATTTATTTGGTTCTCAAAATATTATTCAAGAACAATTGACAAATTTCAAGCAGTAAATAATTATTATTCTTTATTTGTGAATTTTTTTTTTTTTTAATTATAATTAATAACATTGAAAAAAAGATTATAATTAAAATTAATTAAGTTAATTAATTAATACTAATAAACTAATATTAATAATAGTAAATTAATTAATTAAATTAATTAGTATTAATAAATTATAAATAATAATATCAATAAATTATTAATTATAATTATTAATTATTATTTTAAATTATTATTATTATTATTATTATTAATTATTACCATTAATAAATTATAATCAATTTTTGTTTTGGTAAATTTTTTTTACAAAATTCACTGTAAATTATTATTTTGGTGCAAATATTGTTTCATCAGTCAATATACATACATATTGTATATTTAAATAGAAAAAAACTAACCCTCTAAGAAAAAACTTGTCATAAAAAAAGGAAAGTGATTTTTCCCAAAATATGTATAGTTATTTTTTTTCAAAAAGGCTCATAAATGTTTTTTTTCTTTTTTTTTTTTTGTTAAACAAATCTTTGAAGATTTTTTTTTTTAAAGAAATTTTTTTTCCTTTTAAAAAATGGGATTAAGGCGTTGCTTAGAAAAAATTCGTTGAGATTTTTTTTTGCAAGTGGAAAAAATTTATTTTCCGCAAAATTGTATAATTTTTTTTTTTTTTTAAATCGCTTCGTTTCGTAATTTATTTATTTATTTTTTTTTTGTTTTAATAAACGGACTGCGATTTTTTTTTTTTTGCATAATAGGAGAATTGTTATATATTTTTTTCCTTCTTTTTTTTATTTATTTATTTTTGTTAAACATATATATTTTATGGTCGTTTTTTATATTACGATGCTAGTGATAGATCAGCAAATAGTTTTTTTTTTTTTTTTTCTCATCAAATATCACCTCGCTGAGAAGGGCGGTGAGGGCACCACCGCTCCGTTTCACCCTGCGGACTCTGGTCCAGGCCTGCCTCTAAAAAAAAGAAGGAAAAAAATATATATTTTATGATGGAAGATTTGAAAAAAAAAAATTTTTTTTTTTTTATTTTTAGTATTTTTTTTTAACACTCACCTACACAAACCATTCATCTTTCTGGCTGGAGGAGATGTCACTGTAAAGGAATTATTTGAAAATTAATTTTTCTATACTTGAAATTTTAATAATTAATTAATTAGTAATTTTTTTTTTATATTTTGTTCAATTTCTCGAGAAGTGTGAATTTTTTTTCGAATTTCTTTTTTGCCATTCGTTTATTTATAGAGTAAACTAAATGCCGCAACTGTTTTTTTTGGCGAAATTTAAAAAAAAATTTGTAGAATTTGACAATACCGACTGTCGGTATAGTAGAATTTTTTTTTTATTTAAAGCGCATTTTTAATGAAACAAGAAACAGTAAATATTTTGCTGATGAAAAATAGTAAAAAAAAACTACTACTATACCGACAGTCGGCAATGTAAAATTGCTCTAAGTACTCGTTTTCATAAATTTCGCTCAGTTTCTCGTAAGGTGTGAATTTTTTTTCGAATTTCTTTTTGCCATTCGTTTGTTTAAGTAAATGCCACAACCGTTTTATTTCGAGAATTAATAAAAAAAAAATTGTAGAATTCGACATTACCAACTGTCGATATAGTAGAGATCTCTAAAAAAAATTGCTTTTGTGATTAGACAAAAAACAGTGAATATTTTACCAATGGAAAACAAAAAAAACTACTATACCGACACTTGGTAATGTAAAATTGCTGTAAGTACCAGTTTTCATATATTAAGCACAGTTTCTTAGAAAAAAATATTGTATTTTCGAATTTCTTTCCACCATTCGCTTACTTCCAGTCTAAACTAAAAATGCCACAATCATTTTTTTCCGAAAATAAAAAAGAAAAATTTTCGTATAATTTGACATTACCAACTGTCGATAAACTAGAGATCTTTTTGTTTTTATTCAATAAAAATAGTTTTTGTGATAAAGCAGTAAAATTGTACAGATAGAAAACAGAAATTTCTACTTTATCGACAGTCGGTAATGTCAAATTGCTGTAAGTATTTTTTTTTAACATTTCACGCAGTTTCTCAAAATTTATTAATTGTATTTTCAAATTTCTTTCTGTCATTCGTTTACTTATACACTAAGCTAAATGCCACAACCATTTTTTTCGCAAATTAGAAAAGAAAATTTCGGTAGAATTTGACATTACCGACTGTCGGTATAGTAGAAATTTTTTTTTCTATCGGTAAAAATCGCTTTTGGTGGTAAAACATGAAATATTTTACCAATAGATAACAAAAATTTCTACTATATCGACAGTCGGTAATGTCAAATTCTACAAAAATTTTAATTTTTGCAAAAATAGATAGAAAATAAGGAAATTTTTAATTTTTTTTTTTTTTGAAAAATAGACAAAAATATAATTTACCTATCCGACCCATGACTCCTCACTTTGCCTGGCAGTAGAGGCGGACCCGGGCCACGCTGTGCCCGAGCCTGAGGCCCGCAGGGTGCAGCCAGTTTCCCGGCCTTGGAAGGGTCGTTGCCCCTGTTATCCCGGTTCCAATTGGGCCTAGCGATCCAAATGTGCCCTTTAAATTTGTCATACCCGGCGGCATTCCGGTTGACGTCCCGTTCGATCCATACATTTGTTGCACTAAAAAATTGAAAAAAAAAATTAATTAAAGCAGCGATAAAAATTATTTTAAAAAAATTAGTTTTCCAAACGAACAAGAAATAAAAAAAGAAAAATTTTTTTTGAACGTTATTTTTAAAATATATTATAGTTTTTGGAATTTTTAAAATTATTTTTCCCTCCAAAACGATAATAAAAATAACCTATATATTTTTTTTAATGAAAATAATCCGATAACCTTTAATTTCCGTCCTGAATGCCAGAACCATTTTTTTTGCCGAATTAAAGAGAAAAAAGGGGTAGAATTTAAACGAGAAGATTTCTACTATACCAACAGTCGGTAATGACCATCTGTTGGTATAGTAGAAATCTTTTTTTTCCAATCGATAAAAAACTCGTTTTTTTGTAATAAAGAAGAAAATATTTTACCGATAGAAAAAAATAAAAAAATTTCTACTATATCGACGATCGGTAATGTGAAATTCTACAAAATTTTTCTTTTTAATTAGCAAAAAAATGATTGTGGCATTTAGTTTGTACGTAAATAAATTGAAAAAAAATAGTAAAAATTTAAAAATACTTTTCATCTAATAACAAAAAAAAGTAAAATAATTTCACAATTAAAAACTCTTATATAAATTATAAAAAGTAATAAACTATCATAAACATAACCTATATTTTTTAATCAAAACAATTATAAATATAACCTTTAATTTTTTTTTGCCTCCTAAATGCCACACTTTTTTTTGCTGAATTAAAAAGAAAAATTGTGTAGAATTTGACATTACCGACTGTCGGTATAGTAGAAATTTTGTTTGTTTGTTTTTAATTGGTTAAAAAAATGCTTTTGTGATAAAACAGGAATTATTTTACTGACAGAAAGCGAAAAGAAATTTCTACTATATCGACGATCGGTAATGTCAAATTTTACACAATTTTTATTTTTAATTCGGCAACAAAATGATTGTTGCATTTAGTTTAGTTTTTTGGTAAATAAATAACAAAAAGAAAATTAATTATAACCTATAAATTTTTTAATCGAAACAATCATAAAAACATAACCTATAAATTTTTTTTCCAATTAAAATATAATCATAAAAATCTATAATTAAAAATAGATGAAAAAAATTTAATATCCAGTTACTTTTTTTAAAAAAAAATTTCTTCATAAAAATAATCAGTTTGAGAATCTTTTACGTATATATATATATATATATATATATATATATATATATATATATATAGAAAATCCATTATTTTCTAATAGAAGTAAAAGAGGAATTTGAGCATTTCAAACGTTTTTGTTTTTATTTCCGGATGCGTTCGTAATGTGAAATCCGATCTAAAAATCTCTTTAGTGATATTTTTTTTTTTTTTTTTCTTTTTTTCTTGAAAAAGGGCTTTTTAAAAAAAAGAGAAGAGAAGATTCACTCGGTAGAAAATAAACGCTCGGCCGCGTTCATTTCCCTGTCTGAAAATCTACTTTTACCCTTGTCGTCTTGATAAGCCTATATAGTACGCCGTCATGGACTACTGGTCTCGCGCAAGCTTTTTGTCTATCATTAGAAGAAATGAGTTCCAGATGATGGAAATTGTTTTTTCCAAAAAAAAAAAAGTAATAATAATAATCCCCTAAAAATTAGAAGGATAATAAATTTTCAAATCCAATTAATTATTTTGAAATATTAAAAATTTTTATAACAATTTTTATTATTTTCTGTATTTTATTTAAATTAATTTATTTACTAATTAGCAAAATTTATTTATTAATAAGTTTGTTTATTTATTTATTTATTTGTGACGCATTGTTAAGTTTCTAAACTAAATGCCGTAAATTTTTTTTCACGAATTTAAAAGAAAATTAAGGTAGAATTTTACATTACCAACAGTCGATATAGTAGAAATCTTTTTTTATCGGTAAATAAAATTGCTTTTTTTGTAAAACAGGAAACAGTGAATATATAACTGATAAAAAGAGGTAAAATTCTCTACTATATCGACAGTAGGTAATGTAAAATATGACATTACCGACTGTCGATATAGTAGAGATCTTTTTTTTACGTTTTTAGTCGGTAAATAAAATTGCTTTTTTAACGAGACAGGAAATAGCGAATATTTTAACGATAGAAAATAATAAATCGACAGTCGGTAATGTCAAATTGTTGTAAATACTCGTTTTCATATATTTTGCACAGTTTCTTGAAAAAAATATATTATATTTACGAATTTCTTTCTATCATTCGCTTAATTTTTGGACTAAACTAAATGTCGTAACTATTTTTTTCACGAATTAAAAAGAAAATTAAGGTTTAATTTTACATTACCAACTGTCGATATAGTAGAAATCTTTTTGCTTTCAATCGGCAAAAAAATCGCTTCTATTTCAACTCATAAAGCAGCGATTAATTCTACCGATAGTAAACAAAAATTTCTACTATATCGAGAGTTGGTAATTTTTAATTGTAATTTCTTTCTACAAACATTCTATTCAATTTTTCGAAAGCTATTAATTGAAATTATGAATTGCTTTTTACTATTCATTTGCATACAAATTAAACTAAATGCCACAATCATTTTTTTTTTGCCAAATTAAAAAAAAAAATTGTGTTGAAAATGACATTACCGACTGTCGGTATAGTAGAAAACTTTTTTTGTGTGTGTTTTCAATCGGTAAAAAATCGCTATTGTGATAAAACAGGAAATATTTTACCTATAGAAAAGAATAAAAAAAAAATTTCTACTATATCGACAATCGGTAATGTATTCAATTTTTCTTTTTAATTCTCGAAAAAAAATGGTTGTGGCATTTAGTTTAGTCTGTACGTAAATAAATAGTTAAAAGAAATTCAAAAATACAATTCATGGCTTTTGACAAACTGAATTAAATAAAAAAAAAAAATAAAATAATAATAATAATAATAATAATAATAATAATAATAATAATAATAATAATAATAGTGGTACTAAAAGCCGAGGAAGTGGGGAATAGGTGAGAGTAAAACTCTTCATTATTATGAGAAAATAAAAAAAAAATAAAATAAAAACCGTTGCAAATTTCAGTTGCTCTCGAACAAAGTTAAAATAAAAATGGTAATAAGCAACGTTTACACATAAAAGAAAGAAGAGTAGTAAGCTATTTTTTTTTTTTTTTTTTTTGTTTTGTTTTGTTTGTTGGCGGGTATATTTCCGGAAGAAGATACCGGGTACGTGGTTATAAAGTCTCTTTTATAGCGGAAAGAATGTGGGTCATATGGATTTGCCTACAGTTTATGAGAAAAATACTTTAAACTTAAAATTCTCTTTTTATAATTTAATTTTTATAATTTATAAAATTCTCTTTTTTTTTTTATTTTTTTTAATTTAGGAAAATAATTTTTTTTTTAAATTTATTTCCAAAAAAAATTTTTTTTTTTTTAATATCAAAAATAAAAAATAATATAAGGAAAATCGAAATTACAAAATTCAACACGAAAAAAAAATAATTATAGCTTAAACAGCAAAAGGTTTCACTAAAATAGTGAAAGATTTACTTGAAACAGATAAAACTTTTTTTTTTATTCTAGTGAAAACTTTTGTTGTTTCAAGTAAATTTTTTAGTTATAATAAAAAATATTATTTATTTAACTTTTAAAAATATTTTGATTTATTTATTTATTTTTTATTTTCTTTTTTATTTATTTAAAAATTATTTATATTTTGATTTACAAAAATTTTTGGAATATAAAAATTTTAAATTTAATAAAAATTGAGTTTATAATTAATTTTTTCCTCTTTTTTTTTTTTTTTTTTTTTTTTTGCAAAAAGAAATTATTAGATTACTAAAACTCTTTAATGAAAAGTAACAGACTTTGAAACTTGACTGTTCGTCCTTATTTCTTGAAAAGCAAAGCGGAAGGGGATTTATTCCAAAAGTTTAAACTGTGTATATTCTTGGAAACAAGCTTTAAACAATTCACCAAACTTTTCATGCAAGTTGGCATCTCCCTCTCTATCTATTCTCGTTTCTCTACTTCAAAAGTCTTATCCAATAGCCTCGGACATGTTAACCTAATATCGAAAATTATATATATATATATATATATATTATATCTATATATATATAACAACTTATATTGAAGATTTTATAAAACTTTTTTACCCTCAAGTTTTGTGTAAGTGAAAAAAATTGAAAATTAAAAATGAAAAAAAAAATTAATGGAGAAAAAATAATCAAATTATATTTTTATTGTACAAAATTTATTATTCTGTAATACTGAACATGTTTTTAGTAACAATATTAAAAACAATGTTATTTATAAATATCAATATTAATAATTTATCGATAGTAGATAATGAAAATTTCTACTTTATCGACAGTCGGCAATATAAAATAGCAGTAAATATTTTTTTTTTTAAATTTTCCACAGTTTCTCTAAATTCTATTTTTGAATTTCTTTTTGACATTCGTTTACTTACAGACTAAACTAAATATGCCACAACCATTATTTTTCAGAAATAAACAAAAAAAAATTTAGTAGAATTTGACATTATCGACTGTCGATAATAGTAATTTTCATTGTTTTCTATCGGTAAAATATTTGTTACTTACTGTTTTACCACAAAAGTAATTTTTTTTACCGAGAGAAAACAGCAAAAAAAAAATCTACTGTATCAACAGTCGATAATGTCAAATTGATGTAAGTGCTTTTTTTTAAAACATTTCGCACAGTTTCTCGAAAGATGTAAATTTTATTTCTTTTTGACATTCGTTTACTTACAAACTAAACTTAATGCCACAACCATTGTTTTCCAGAAATAAAAAGAAATTTTTTGTAGAATTTGCCATTACCGACTGTCGATAAAAGTAATTTTTATTGTTTTCTTATCGATAAAACATTTGCTACTTAATGTTTTACCACAAAAATAATTTTACACCTACAGAAAATAGTAAAAACTCTACTGTATCGACAGTCGATAATGGCAAATTGCTGCAAGTATTGTTTCCAAATATACCGCGCAGTTTCTCAAAAGTTA